CCCCAAAACCCCAAAACCCCAAAACCCCAAAACCCCGAGATTATATAAAACTATTGATTATAATGAATACGATTACACATCCATACACGCTGTGAATACCTTACCTACTCTATATACCAAATTCCCTTAGAACTTCTTCTGTGAAACACTGCCTGGCTGTAGATACATCTGGTTTTGGTCTTGTCCTTGACTGTAGGACTGGGCCATGTCAAGTTCGAGGGTCAGGTTTTCAGCCGAACTTTTGAGCGAGAGGTTGGATGGTTCTTGGAACACTGGAGAATGTGAGAAGGAATTTGGGGAGGGGTAAAGGTGGGATAGGGATTTTTTGAAGGGTCAAGTTGGAATGAATTTTTTAGATTTTATGAAGAATTTGCTTTAAAAATATTAGCAAAATCACAAGTTAGTATAATCTAATATTTTAAATTTTTATTAATATGTTCGCTATACAATTAGGATTTTAATTTAAACATTGCAGATTAATGATAAGGAAACTCTATTATTTTCATCTAACTTTAAAATAAAAAATTTACTTACTCGCAGATTCATTATCAGAATTATTAATAACTTCGCTATAAGCCCCATAACGGCTACTATTATTCCCTCTCTTGAACCCTTTCGAAGATTGCCTCTCTAAATCTTCATTCTTGTGCACAGTTATTTTTGTATTCATCTTCATCTTATGCTGCTTCACCCCAAATTCCCTAAAGCCATTCCTCTTTAAAGACTTCTTATTTCTCTCCCTATTCCTTCTCTGGGACCTGTTTAGCTTATCACCTTTTTGCAGTAGCTGACCTAAATAGGCTGGTTAAGGATGCAAGTTTGAGCAGGGATTTTTTGGGCTAAGTTGGATTTTGGGGAAGTGGAAAGGAGTGGGAAAGGGACGTTTTGGGTATTAGGGAGAGGAAAGGGAGGTAAATATTGGAGAGGCGAGGGTGATATGAAGAGATTATTTGTTAAATATGATATTAATGAGAAATAAAAATGTTCCTACTAAAATTTTCTTAAATCCAAATCGAAAATCCCATTACTATACCTTCCCAAACATCTCAAATCCCCCACCCCAATCCCCACACTGCTTAAACTCATTCTGCAACTGCTCATATCTAACCTGGTTCTGCTGGACTGTTTTCTCCAATCTTCCATACTCTTTTCTTAACTCAGAATAATCTTGAGAAATCTCAGCATTCTCTGCCTTTAAAGCCTCATTCTGTTCGGTCAAGGATTTGATCTTCTGGACGAGGAGGCTGGAGTCTTGGAAATGGGGGTCTGCAAGAGAAGTGGGAGGGAGGGCTGGGGGCTGAGATGGGATGGAGGCCAGGGGTGGGCTTGAGAGGAGGAGGGTTTTGTCGGTCAGTTCTAAGGGGGGTTAGGGAGATTTAGAGGTTTAATGGTGTTTGTAATGGTTGGGGGTTGATATAGAGTTGAGATTTATTAAAGGAGATGACATGGTTGTGGGGAAATTTATAAAATTAGCTTGATTATTTAACATTAATAACTATAATTTTACAGAAGGATAGGATTTAAACTATGAATGTTACAGCCTATCTCGAAATTTCTCTTGTTTTTAAACTTCCCAACTTCGATTAACCATAAATTTACTTTCTAACTCCCTTATTCTCTTCTGTGCATCAGAATATTTCTCCTTCAAATCATCAATAATCCTATTCATCTTTTGAATCTGTCTTCCTTTCACCCCAATACTCTTCTTCATCCTTATCTTCCTTCCTTCTAAACCAACATCAAACACTTCTCTAAATCCCTAAAACTCCTCTATTTCTACAAAATCCCTCTTCTAAGTCTCTTTCTCCTCTAGGGTCCCTATAAAACCTCCTGCTCTCCGTTACCAAAATCCTCTGAAAATTAGTGGAGTTGTTCTACTCTAGATTTTAGTGCTGGCTTTTGAGTGAGTGGCTGATAGAGGAAGGATGAGGGTGGAAGGGGAGGTAGTGAGATAGCGGAGATGGGGAAATTGGGATTGTGGAGGTTAGTGATTTGGGGAAGATTTTTGGGCGAGGGTTTGTAGTATTTAAGGGGTTATTATTTGCTTAAATTTTAATAGGTAGAGTGTTTTATAAAGATTTTGGAGGTTAAAAATCATATAATTGGCAAAAATTATATCAAACTAGGGGGAATATAAATTAATCCATATAATCTAGCGCCTAAATCAACCCTTGCTACATAACAACCCCCTCACTCAACCCCTACTATCCCAATTCCCCAAAACCAAGATCCCCCAACCTCCTCTTTCCCTCCCTTTACTCAACTCCCTCAAAACCCACTAAAATCTCCTATCCCCTCTTAACCTCCACTGGCCAGATCCCAAATCTGAAGTTAACCAGTGGCCAGCACTGAACAAGTAAATTAATAGCTATTCTATATTTCTTCGGGGAAAAGTTGTCAGTGGAAGAGCCAAGAGGAAGGAGAGGGTGGGAATTTAGGTGGGGTAAGAGAAGAGTTGTGGAGAGGAGTAAGGGGAGTTTGAGGGAATGATAGGGTGAGGGAGAGATGAGGGTTTGTTGGAGGCTTACTTTTAGTTTGGAGAGGGTTGGAATTTTGACTTGGAAAGGGAGGAGAACCTTGTGGGTGGGTTGATAAAGAAGTTATATATCGATTATCCTGAACCCCATTACCAAGTCCAAAACTCGCCTGCTTAAGCGGGGAATTCTGAAAAGTGAAATTCTGAATTTTGAATAACTCATTTCTGTGTGAGGAGTGACCGAAGCGGGAAACTGAGGGAGCCTGGGAAGGAGGAAGGGAACTAGATGGGTGAGTGAGGGTGAGTGGGGATTTAGGAAGAGAATTTAAGGGGGTGGAAAGGTTTGAATTTTTTAAGTGATTTTTAGGATTGGAGAAGTAAGGTTTTGTAATTTAGTGGATTTTTGTGTTAAAAGATTGTTGAATAGAAATGGAAATGGTATTTTATTTAGAAATTGTAGTTTGTTTATTTATTGTTGGTATTTTGTCAACAAATTTATCAATCACTTAGTTCTAAGACTGAATGTAGAGAATAATATCAGAAATATAGGCTCAAGTGTTTTTGTGATGATTGTGCTCTCTTTGGCCTCAAAATAATCCAACATTTTTGTAAAAATTTAATGCATCAATTTGTTTAATTATCATTTTTAAAATCATATAAGTCTAAAAATCTAACTAGGGATTATCTAATAATTTCACAGGTTAATGTTTTTAGTCTTAACGCTTGGAAAAGTGTGTTTTAAGAATTCCTTTTAATTTTGAATATCAAAAATATCTATCGATAATTAGCTCAGACTCGCAAAAAGACTTCAGCTCTGCCTCTCTTACCTTCTTTTCCTTAACAAGGTCCGGATCTTATCACTTCTAATACTCTTCGGACTCTGTGAAATCCCTCTAGACCCTAAAAAAGTCATATTTCCTCCTTACCAAAGCTAGAATTGGATAGAATTCTTCCTCGAATCTGGAAGAAAGAACCTTTACTTTTCTTCCTCTTTAAATTTCTAGTAATTTTTTTGACTACCGGCGATTTCCCCGCTAATCTTGTATAATCTTGAGTATAATTTGAGTATCTCTCTTCTTGTGCTCTAAATCTCTTCTTGAACTTCTTTAGTTGCTTCTTTAGCTTCTTTTTGACATCAGCCTTGACTTCCTAGACAAAGTCTGGTTTAGTTACCTCGGGTAGGGATATTTGGTGCCTATAAGGAAGTTATGTTTATAGGGTAAAGTCTTATGAAAGAGTTGAGAGTTGAACACTAGCTTACTCCATTGGGTTTGAAGATAAATAATTTTATAATTTTGGGATGGTGATTAGGGGTTTTGGGGTTTTGGGGTTTTGGGG